GGCTGGGTGGCTGTGGCAAAGCCCCTCACTTTTCCCTTCACCTGCTGAGGGCTGAGGGCTGAGACTCTGGCTTGGGCCTCCTTGACGTCCCCAGGACTCCCTGGGGGACAGGGTCATGCCACTGCCAGTTCTCTACAAGCTCTCTGGGCTCAAGGCCAGGCTAGAAGCAGCAGTCCTGAGAATCCCACACAGGTCCTCCTAGCCCTGATTTCTTTTTGGAATGAGACCCCAGGCTCCTGAACCCTTGGATAAGGTCTCTCTCGCTCTACTTGGGGCACAGCTAGGAGTAGGCTGGGTGGGTGGGTGGTGGGGTGAGTCAATGAGACTCATCCATTCTGGCATTCTGGGTTTTGCCTTCAGACACAGAGGACAGCGTCAGATCTGAACTCTGTAGGCAGATGGCATGGTACGAAAGTGAGCCCTTGGGCCACATGGGGGTTTAGTCTTTCATCTGCAAAATGGGGACGGCAGTGTCCAAAAGGAAGGAAGTCCCCCAGAGTGTTCACACTGATTACCTAGGACAAGAAGACAGGGGACAGTAATTTCCTATTTTCCTCCTTTTCTAATGTTTTATCCACCATCATCAAATTGTTATAGCAGAAAAACCAAGCGGATATTCTTCGTATGTTAACTTTATTGCGATACAATCTACCTATAACAGAATAGATCCATTTAAAAACGAGAATACAGACATGGTGGCTCACACCTACAATTCCAGCACTAGGGAGGCTGAGGCAGGGGGACCGCTGTGAGTCCAGGACTAGCCTGGGCTACAGCACTGAGTTGAGGGCTGGCCTGGAATACAGAGTAAGATACTGTCTCCAAAAAATTCAAAACCAAACCAAAGGAAACACGGGAAAGATAAACGGCAGGTACTAGCAGCTAACCTCCGACCTGCCCAGACCCTCACCTACGGCTTCAGAAGGCTGGAGTGAGCTATGAGTGTAAACCCTTCACCAGCCTCTGCCTAGGGCATCGGCAGGACCGGCAGGAGAGCAGGGTCAGGAAGCTGGGCCAGCCTGCTCCTCTGGCCCTAGCTCACAGGCCCACCTTCGTCACGTAGGTCTGGACGCCTGTGACAGCCACCTCTGAGTCCTGGTAACAAAGTACCATGAACTGGTGGCCTGTGAATCACACAATGCAGTTCTCATTGTTACTGGAGCCTTGAGTCCAAGATAAGGCTTCAGACTGGGAGTGTGCAGGAGGGCCACTTCCGGGTTCAGGGAAGGGTGCCTGCTGGTCCCTGTGTCTCCGGGGACCTCTTTTGCAAGGACATGAACCCTCATCAGAGGTGTTCTGTCTCCCTGATCCAATCACCCCCTTCCATGCCATCACTTTGGGGGTGTCTGTTTCAACAAATGAACTCGGCAGGGACAGGAACATCTGGACCACAGAGATCTCACGGGAATCACACTAGAATCCAGAGGTGGCTGTGCTCTGGTCCTGCTCAGAAGCCTGCATGGCTCCCACTGCGTTGGGCCAGAAGCCTTAGCCTTCCTCTGAGACAGAGTTGCAAGTTTCTAAGCCTCTCTGTACCTCTTGTTTTTTTAACTGAAAAAGAGGCATAAAAATAGTACCTCCTTCACTAACTTGTAGGATTTCACACTGCACCCTGGAGGGGGCGGTTTAGATCATCAGGACTGTGGCCTCTGCCCTCCTCCTCTTCCTCGCTCTTTCTACCTGCTTTCCTGCTCTTCCGGCCTGCCTCAGGGCCTTTTCACTGGCTCTTCCCCCACAGCTCAGCCCCGCTTGCCCAAGTCACCCTCTTAGTAAGTCCTGCCGATAATGGCAGTCCCTTTTTCTGGGGTCACGCTCCTTCACTCCCTCCTGGTTGCTTTGTTTTTGTTTTTTGTTTTTTTTTCCCTTTGTCCCTATCAGACAGACCGCAAACTCCTCCAGGGCACCTTCTCCTCCGGTGGGTGTTTTATTTACAGTGGAGGTGTTTGGTAAACACTGGGGAGGCCCTGGGGACAGAGCCCTGGAGTAGCCAGTGTTCAACAGACACACGGCCTTGCGGTTGCCATTACAGTTAGTGATTGTCTGACTCAAGGCCTCCTCACTTTAGGTCTCTAATCACACCTTCCCAGTCCCCTACCACACCCCATGGCTCACTTATTGTAAGGAACCATAATTACATCTTTAATTATATCCTTTTCTACTTAGGCTGAACCACACAAAAATTGTTATTTTTTTGTAAGTTAAAAAAAAAAAGTTGGACATAAGCCTTTCTGGCGTGGTTTAAACTAATGTGTAAGCACCTTGCAGGTCCCCAGGAGGCATCCAGAGAAGGAATGAGGTCTCCTGGCCTGGCAGATGTAATGTGACTGCCAACTGCCTCCTTCCTGTTCTGGAGGAGAGGCCCCTGCCTCAGCATGAAAGTAGCAGCGTCTGGGGGCTTCCAGTGACCGGCAGAGGCGAGGGAAAGCTCCCCAGGCCTGAATCAGGGCTATTTGAAAAAAGCAAAGACTTCAAGCAGAACCCCTTGAGGGGAGCTGGCAACCCTTCCTCGGGGAGCACTTATCTCTGGGGCAGGGAGGACGCCACAGTCTCTGGATGTCCAGGGCGCTCTGCTCCTCCAGTAGAAGGCTCCACAGCTGAGCTGTGCAGACTCAGCCACCACCAAGGCCACGCCCACTTCACGAGGGAGAAAGTGAGGGATGGAGGAGAAAGGCTGGCGCAGGCCACACAGTGGGGCAGGAGTCTGTCTGCCGCCCTGCCTCAGGGTCTTTCCTCCTGACACTTGGGCAGTGGTGGGACTTCACTGTTGCCACTTTTGACACTGTTTTTTTTTTTCAAATAAAATGTTTCAGAAGCCTCAGCATGCTTCTCCACTGTCAGGCAAGTTCAAGACAGTAGTGCTACCTACATGTCTCTCTGGTGACTTCCTTAGGGTAAAGTCCCCAAAGGAGAGGCCTGGAGCAAAGGGCAGGCAGATCCATTTCATAGACTTGCTTCGAGGGCGGCGAGATCACCCTACAACATGACACACCTTGGGCTAATCCTCGCAACCTTGCCAGCACAGAGTTTTAACCTTTTATGTTTATATCTTGCTCCTTTTACAAAGCAATCAGACTGTTTCATTTATGACATGTTTTCATGCCTCCCTTTAAATTGGAGACAGTCTCCTATATCCCAGGCTGTCCTAGACCTTGAGTTGTAGCAGAGGTTGGTCTTGAAGCCCTGGTCCCTCCATCCTCCACCCCCAAGTGGAGGAATTACAGGCATGATTCACCATACTCAGTCTATTGGTTCTGGGATGGAACTGGACTCCATACAGCTGGGCAAGCACTCTACTAACTGAGCTGAAGCCTAGCCTCTAAACACTCCATACTTGAAACGAGGATCCCTGGCTGGTTTGTTGTGTGGCCGTTTACCAGTCACGTCCCCTTCAAGGACAGGTGATATCTACCCATAAAGCAAGGGGAGTGGGTGCGATGGTTTCAGGTCAGATAATCCCCAACTCCACAGTAGATTTTTAAAAGTACAGGATGGTTTTGTAATAACCAGAACCCGCCTTGCTCAGGCACCATCCACAGTGGCCTCCCAGATCACAGGAGCACGCAATGACAGGGGACTCAGGTAGTACTTAGGCCTCCGAGTTGGTGCTGGGCTCTGGCGGCCACCCTTTATACTTAGTCTCCTTTTATGAGAGGATAATAACACTCATTTGCAGTGACGCCGATGGAGGGCCATGGGGCAAGGTCCCCTGCCACTCTGCGTCAGCCCGGGAATACCAGGGCACCCTACCGCGCCCACCCAGCCCTCTGCTTGTATATTTAGGATGATGACACTGGGTTCACCACCTGCGCTGAGGCTGGGGGAGGAGGAAGTCCCCTCTTTTAGCCCCAAGAAAGCCCTTGGGGGAGGGGGAGGGAGATAGGAGATCAGCAGGCGCTGAACCTGTTCCTTAATTGGGGCAAATGCCAGGAAATGAGGCAGAAAGGCCCCAAGATGGCCCAGGTCCTTCTCTCCCTCCACATGCCACAAGAGATGGCCGGGTGTAAGGGCAGCAGAAGGGCACATTCCTACGCTGAGGCACAGGTGGTTGTGAACAAGGGCAGGCTCTGGGGCAGAAGGGCCAGATGATGTCTAAAAGGCACTCGCAGGACTAGAACCGCAGTGGGAGCAGGTTCCTCAGTTCCAGCTAGTGAGATCCCCATTGCAAGAAGAATGCAACCCAAGACCTTCATCCAGAGGCATCTTACAGAACGTCCTAGCCCCATGGCACAGGTCTTCACAGACCCTGGAGCCACTGCACCCTTAGACAAGTGCTCTGTCCCCCTAGCCTGGTAGACACTGCCCTCCTGGACTCTCTGCGGTCCGAGTGTGGCAGAGTCAACCCTTTCCCACCAGTACTGAAACACAGAACTGAGCTCCTGCAGCCGGCCAGGGCGCGGACCAGGCCGTCCTTCCCCATTGCCTGAACGCAGGTGGGTGTCTGCTAGGCTTGGGTCTAAGCAGGTCTGTGGCTGATATCTGGCCACCGCCAGCGGGGGGCTCCTCCAGTTCCAGGCGATGAGGCTGGTCTGGGTGGCAGACTGCTCGCCCCACCCGCGCGCCCAGGTCGCCTCGGCAGGGACGTGGGGATGCTTCCTCTTCCACCGTCTCCCGGGACTGAGGCCCCGCGAGTAACCCCGCCAGGAGAGGAACAATCACGACTCGAGTCCACGGGGCACCAGGGCCACACCAGGGCCTGTCGGGACTGGCTGCCGCGCCCAGGGCGGGCCGCTCACCGCGGCAGGAGGCGCGGGCGGTGCGGACTAGCTCCGAGCCTCTGGAACCCGAACCTGGGGGTTCGCTGTTACTAGTCACCCGCTGAGGGGGCGGCCGCGCCGCTATCCCGTTGGGGAAACTGAGGACCGGAGCGGGGCAGGGCTTTGTGTGAGGTCGTGCGGGGGGCTGGAAGATAGGTCTCCGTGGCGCCGGGGGCAGCATCCCTCCCGCCGCCTAGCCGCAGCCCGGGCGCAGCGCGCGTCCCGCCCGGCCGGGTCCCGCCCTACCTTGTTGGCGGCCGCGCAGGTGGCGGCGGTGGCGGCGGCGGCGGCTCCGGCTCCCGCTCCGCGCTTCGCGCCGCCCGCCGAGTCCCCGCGCCCAGCGCCGCCGCCTCCCCGCGCAGCCCGGCGGGCGGGACCGGGCCGGGCGGGGCCGGGGCGGGGCGGGCCCGGGAGGCCCCGCCTGTGCGCCGCCGGTCGCCCGCAGCTCGGATCCCGTCCCACGTGCACACGCTCTCGCCTCCCGCACTCTCTAGCCGCAGGCTTTTTGGGGGGACTTGGGTCCCGAGCCTCAGTTTCCCCTTGCTGAGACGGAGACAGTCACCGCGTCTGCCTCCCAGGTGGCTCCAGGTTGGATCCCGCAGCGGGCGCCGGCACCGCGGCTCCGCGGCGGGAGAACCGGGGAGCGGAGGGCGGCTGCGCACCCGGGAGGGAGACCCTTCCCGCGGCTGCCAGTAGGGGGCGCTGCTGCCCAGCCTAGCCCGCTATCAGCCCTGTGCACACTGAACGTGGAAGATGGAACGTCGCGTCTTTCATAACCACGCCACGCCACACCACCTATCTTGGAAAGAGTTCTTCGTGTCTTATAGTGATGTATTTGGTGGGGGGTGGTGGTGTGGGGAGGGCGCTAGCGCGGTACCTGGCGCATAGTTGGTGCTGTATATATTGAGTAAGTACACGTATTATTACATTTGATCTACCAACTCCTTCAATCTAGTCATAATAATACCCCCATTTCATAGATAAGTTGAGATTGGCTAAGTTCTTGGCAGGCTCTATTAACTAATTTAATGTGTGTGTATGCATGCATGCATTTGTAACGATGGGATTGAACACAGGGCCTTGTGAATGCCAGACAAGTGTTCTATCGTTGAGCTACACTGTGAGAACTCTTTTTTTTTTTTCTTTCAGTGAAACAAGGGTTCACTAAGTTGCTCAGATTGACTTTGAACTAGCTATCTTCCTGCCTCAGCCTCAAGTAGCTGGGGTTGTGGGAGTACACCAACACACTCAGCTCTGGTGGAGTCCCTGATCTCTTTAGAACAGCCTGCCTCGGGGTCCTGAATCACAGTGCCCTGGGTCACTCCCCTGCGCGCAGCTGAGGGTTCCCGTTCCCTACATCAAAGCCTCCCCCGAAACCCCAAACTCAGAGGGACACAGCATATACCGGATGTGGACATGCAACAGTTGGACCTTGGCATTCACAGGTCCACGGTATTTTAAAAGATTGTTATCATGTGTTTACATGTGTGTCCATGTGCCTTTGTCAGAGGTCAGAGAAAATCTTTCAGGAGTTGGTTCTTTCCTTCCATCTTGTTGAGACAGGGTCTCTCTTGTTTCTGCCATGCTGCATACTCCAGGCTGGCTGTCCCTTGGCCAGGGTCTCTGGTGCACCTCTCCCAACATCACTTCCCCCACCCCCACCCCCGAGCCTCTGCTCACACCGTCCCCTCTTTCCGAATCATTTTCTAAGAAACCTCTGTTCATGGGTGTCGGGCCAGTTGGCGGTGGGGACCATGAGCATACGGACCCATAAATCAGAGGAGAGGCCTGGGACCTGGCATGCCCCTTCTGTGTCTGGGGAGGGACCCTCCCTGTTTCTTACTTTCTCCTAATCCTGCCCCAGGTGTGGAGGACTGGCCCCTGACAACTCATGTTACACACAGGGGTGCAACTGACCAGGGGCCTGGTTAAACACCACACAGGTGGGGGTGCGGAGAGTGACAAGGACTAATTTGAAGATATGGACCAGGCCCAGCTCCATGTTCCTGGGGGCGGGGGCATGGAGTCCCAAGAGGAACCCTGGTAATGAGAGTGCTTCTGTCCTAAAGGTGGAGAGCCATCAGTCACAGGGACGTCGCTTCATGCCATCCACTGCTTTAGTTCCACCTACTTGTCACATGGAGTTTCCTGTAGAATGCTCCCGCCCATCTGGGGTGGGGGGCGGGTGCGGGAGAGAAGACAGCCCCTAGGGCAAGGGTTTACAAGCGTGAACAAAGTAGTCTGGAGGGGAGTCTGCCCCTCCCACATGGATTGAGGAGTTTATCAGGTCCCCAGGCCCCTCCTTTGACCCAGTCCCTTTGTTCTTCGATAAGGCCTGCTGGTCCAGGGGTGGGAGGGCGGAGCGTGGAGTCCCATCCCTGTTCTGGGTAGGAGCTGTGGGATCAGATCCTCCAGCCTAGGAAGCAGTGGTCCCTGGGGAAGGGGCAACAGCTGTGGGACGGGCCAGGAACCTGACACTAGGGGTGGGCCCCAGGCTCCTGCCCCAGGGAGGGGCAGGCTCTGCCCCAGCAGAGCCCAGACCGTCTCAGGCTGGAGCCACCCTGTACCCCTTGTTCATCCCCGTTGCAGTTCAAGCAATTCAGACAGGCATCTGTCTTCCTTTTATTGTTTTGTTTTTGGAGACACTATCTGGCTGTGTAGCCCAGGGTGTATTGGGACTGCTGGGACCAGAAGTGTGTTCCCCCGACACTCGGCTCCCCCTTTTCCTAGAGTTAACCCTATGGGTGTGCCCACAGGTCTGCCCTCCCCTGCTCTGTGACATTGGAGGTCATTAACTTCACTGTGCCCTGTCACCCGAGCTTGACCCGGGTGAGTGCTGAGGGACAAGCCGTTCTCAGCCTGCCTCCTCATTCGGGGCTGGAGGAGGAATCAGTCCCAGAACCCTAACCCTCCCTCGGTTATCAGGACGCCACGGCCCCAACATTAGAGAGCGAATCAGCACCGTTGGAACAAAGCTCGTTCAGGATTCTAAGGCATAGCTCGGTAGGAAAGCTGGTCTGGTCCCTAAGGAGGAGCACAAGTGCTTGGCAGAGCCCCCTCCAGGGAGAAGTGAGGAAGAGGACAGGTGGGGGCAGTGGTCAGGGGGAGGGAGTGGCAGAGAGGGCAGAAGGCACTGTTTATCCAGTAGCCAGTTCCATCTGTTTTGGGGAGATCCCGACCCCACCTAGCCATGTCTCCTTCAGATGGGGCTGCTCACCGCCTTGGGCGCTTCCCTGCACTAGGCCCCAGCATCAACTTTCATTCTCCAGCATGCTCCACGGGGTTGGGGCTGCCTCTTCACCTGGGACCCACTTTAGAGTTACTGTGCCAGTCGGGGTGCGGGCCAAGCTCCCGAGACCTCCCTCCTGCCTTTTCTCTTACTTCATGGAAACGGTCTGCAGGTAAGAGGCCTCAGCAGAGGCAGCAGGCCAAGCCCCCAGTGCAGGGTGCTCACAGGAATTCTTCGGCTGGGAGCTGGTGTGTGTGTGTGTGTGTGTGTGTGTGTGTGTGTGTGTGTGTGTGTGTGTGTGACTCTGTGGGTGCCAGGCATGCCAAGCCTTCGGGTTCACACCATGACTCTCAGGCTGACAGGGCCTGTACTAGGATGGGTGTTGCCCCAGCTCCACAAGAGCCTTGACTTTGGGAATTTCCATAACAGTCTCCACAGAGACTACACCTCCCCCCACTCCACCCCCCGAGAGCCGTGCTCAAGGCTCTGATGGCACCAAGTTCACTGAGATATGGACCCTTGTACACCTTTAAACCTCTGTCCTAGGTAGGGAGGACACACAGGGTGGCCCTCTGCTGAAGAGACCAGGAAGAACAGAGGACCAGGGCTCTGCTGGGCCATAAAACTGTGTTCAACTCACTCTGCGAGCCCCGCCCACCTTCCCAACCCTGCCCTGTTGGCCCCACATGACGGACATGTCAGAGTGGATGGCTGTTTGAGACCCACTGTCCTGTCCCCAACAAGTTTCTCAGGGTGGCAGGCAGGGGTTTCCCCTGGGCTGTCCCCAGTGGGCTGTAAACAAAAGGGAAGGCTCAGGCATGAGGCTCCAGAAACAGACCTGTCGAGCAGGGTGGTCTCAACACAGATCAGTGGCACTTCAGAGGGGCTATTGCCCAGAAAGACAGATGCCCTGAAAACATAGGCCTGGAATTTGGAGTGCCACAAGAATGGTGACCAAGGCCCCGAGCCAGAGGGTGCCAGTGGGAACATTCCTGACACCTTGGCCTGCCCGGGAATACTGGTAATGAGAGTGCATCTGTCATAAAGCTGTCGCAGGGACTTTGCTTTATGCTAACATGCCTGAGACAGGAAGAGCAGGAAAGGTCAAGGCCAGGCTCAGTTACATAGTGAGTATGAGGCCAGCATGAGCTCCATGAAACCCGGTCTCAAAAGACCAAACCCAAACCAAAGGGAAACAGTCATGCCTCAGAGAATGCTCCAGGTGACCCGGAGTGTACTCCCGCCCCCCTCCATGTTAAAGTGCTCAGTGGTGTGGTGATACAGGCCGGCAAGCCTGGGAGACTTAGAAGAGTGACCCCGACCAACGGCTTCACAGTAAGCAGTGTCCATGTGGGAGCCTAAGGTCCAGAGAGGAGAAGGGCCTTCTCCGGGGTCACACAGACCTCTGGCCCATGCCTGTACAATATGCTCCTGCCGGCAAAGGTAAGAACGGCTGTGGGGAGCAGAGAGGCAGGTCAAACATCCCCTTCCCCTTCGTCCTCGCTGAGACAGCTCTCGGGCGCTGCTCTGCCCCTGGATGCCCGTCTCTCCAAGTACTCGGCTTTCAACAGTTCCAGCTTCCGAAGCTCAGCCTCCAGCCTCTCCCGGTGGGCTGCCCGGAGCTGCTGCAGCTGCTTCATGGGAAAGGGGTTCATATCATTGAAGGCGATGCTCATGAGCTTCCTGGGAGGAAGGTGTAGTCAGCCAGAGCAGTGGTTGCTGGTTCCGGGCCTGTCCTGACACCCATCCACCCTGGGATGGTGGCCCTGCCTTCTGGAGCTTACCTTCCGGGGTGAGGGGGTGGGGTGGGAGGGGAGACCATTCCCATCCAGAGCTGAGGCTGGAGGGAGCTCAGCAGGCACCTGACCCAGTAGGGAAGGGCTGCTCAGGAGAGTTTCCTGGAGGAGGGATGTGGGAGCTTAGCTTTGAAGAAATGGACCAGGCCCAAGATGGTGGTGGCAGCGGAGGAAGTGGCCAGGAGGCTCTAAGTAGGAGAAACCAGAGGCCAAGCCAGTGGTGGGGTTGGTTGTTCCACAGCCTGGGTGTTGGTGGCAGGGTGAAAGTGGGCTGGGGAGCTTGCGTGCCACACAAGGACACAGACGGACTGAAGGCAGAATGA